TCCGAGAAAAACGCATCTAAACGATGAAAGATGATATCAAAACAATCGTCACGTTATCCTATTTGCGCTTAATATAAAAATGATGCAAAAGTTACTAAAATTTACTATACCAAAAGAACAAATTAAATGGTTGATCTAATTAAAATTATAGTTATTTTTTATCCCAACTATATTCTTTAGTCCAACACGTTTATTCCAACACGAAAATATTAATAATATTAACATGCATATGAAGTTGTTATCATGGTACATTATAGTAGAATTTAATAAAAAAGAAAACGACTATAATTTATAATTTTCTAGACTATAATTTATAGTAATTATTTCTCTATGTGATTATAGTTAAAAAAATACCGAAAATTTTCTTCTCCGTGTAAGCAATATAAAAGTTATTTTTAGAAAATGCTTTTTAGATTCTATCTTCGGAGACGAATATCTCGGCAAAGATGTGTTGTAGGAAAGAATCTTGTATGAACTTATGGGGTTATTTTCACCTGATCTATACGACCCCAGAAGATTGCCTACCTCTATTGAAACACCCTGTACGTTTCCTTATTCGAAGAAAATTTTTTTCAATGTAAAAATATACATATTAGTATAAGTGTGTTAATATAATACCCGCCGAACAAATATTTCTTAAATACTTTCTCCCTTAGTGTGTTTATATACATGTCGAGCGCGTCTCTGTCCGCTCATTTATTGCGAACGCTGTGCCATTTATAGAATCCGATGGAGTCGCCGAAATATATGTCTGCCAATAATCTCGCGAGACAATGTCCTTGCAAGCCTAGGGAGAATGCAAAATTAGACGTCGTTTTCGAGATCACGGGTAAGAGATAAAAACGTCAGCGAGCAGAATTAGACAGCGAACTCTGAGATGTCCGTTACAAAAACACTTCGCTGTGACGCGTCGGCTCGATTCGCCCCGTTTTATCACCCCGCAACCAGCGACGACGACGACAACGCGGCCGTGTCTATCCTGGGAAACGCCGGCCGAAACGCCGCATTGCAGGCACCCTTTCGAGACAAGCCCGTGGAATCGGCGCTGCTATTTTTCCATTCACGTAGACACTACTTGTATCCGCGGAATTTATGGAACTTTACGGAAGTGCGAGATTCCGTTCGTGTATTCCGGTGCTTCGGAAGTTCAGTTACTCTCCATAGTACGCCACACCTCGTCTCGCCCTGAATCTTCGTCTCTTTATTCTTCTCCACTTGGTTATCCGTCCTTACCCTTTCGTCTTGTACTCGCCGCAACCGCGGCCGTAACTGCGTTAAATATGTGATAGTTTGTGGATCGAGCTAACTTTTCACTCGCAATGACGCCAATTTTTTAAGACGCGGAACGCGCGGCATAAAAGAGGAGACAGAGGGGAGGGAGCAGGGTGAGAAGGACAACTTTTACGACGTCACTGTTATTTCGCCGCGACTCCCGCGACGACGCTATTTGGTCGTAGTCGTTCGTATAGATGGAAATCGCCGTGTCCGCGTGCTGGAGGAGATAAACGGCATAATGGGCGGCGGTCTGCATTTTGAAAATGATTCGCGCAGCGATCGGCACACCACCGCGGCCGAACTCGCCCGTCCGCTCCCGCGAGATCGATGCGCCAATAATTTCCTATGACGATCGCGGCCCGCGCTCGCTCGACTCGCCCGACATTATTCATCGGGCGGAATTCCGAATAAAACAACCGACGCACGGCGGAATCACGTTAAAAGCTTTCTGGCTCTTCCCGCCAAAACGATCCTCCACGCTTCTCCCTCGTCGGTCCGATACGTCTCCTTCCCTCCTTCTCCCTGGATCTCCATTTCCCTCGCCACCTATCGTCACTCTCTGCCCTTTTCACCTTCCGTCCACTTTTCCGCTATCTCCAGTTCCTATCCATCTCTTTAGCCCTCTGTAATCCAACATTCCGGCATTGAAAAGCGCGCGCGCGAGCTAGTGGACGCCGAAACTCAAGCGCGGCGAGCGGAAAGAAAGGGACAGTAGGGAGGAAAAGGCAACGGATGAAGCGGGAAGAAGCACCTTGGAAATAAATTTCACAGCGCGGAGTTCATGGAAAGTGCCGGTAGCCGTTAACGCAACACACCGAAATGCTCTCTCGTTCTCCCCGCGCAAGTGTGATGGTGTAACAAGAGCTGGTACGAGGGTGGAGGGTAGATCGCGGGTGTGAGGTTCTCTCGGATAAAAAGGATTAATTGCTCCCACCGTCGTTACCCTTTTTTCCCGTTGAAAAGCCGATACAATGGCTCATTATCACAAACTTCAGGTAAGAAGCGAGCGTGATCGAGGAGAATATTTTCGGGCGAGCAGATTCCTCTGAGGATTATGTATGCATGTGTATGTGACTTCCTATGATATATAACTCCAATTGATATAATCCCACACTGAAAAAGAAATGGTCTGAAAAATAAAGAATATTTGTTCGGTGTGTGGGTACTAATGCATGTTTACATAAATCTAGATTCTCTTTTATTTAAATATATGACTATGGAAAATTGCATACTGCATTCAAGTAAATATTTCTTGTTTCAAGTATCTCATAAGATTATATATTAGCAAATCGATCTATCATCTAAGCTTATCATGAGCATCAAATTTTTTTTCAAATACTGATCCTGCATTTCAGTTAAAAATATTAAATTACAACAAAAATTCGGTTTATTTACTACGTAGACTCGAATCAACTTTTTCTTTTCGTTAAAGTTATAATATTCTAAAGTAAAGAAAATTAGTTTTTTTTTAATACATAATAATAAACTTTTTTAAAATTTATTATGAGTATATTTAGAAATTGTTATCAAGAAGGAATTTCTTTGCTAGAGGTAACCATTACTTAAAAAAAGAAAAGTAAACAATCGCTTTTCATAACAGTAGAATGATATTTTTCTCTGCGTATAAAATCCACAATTGCTCTTATGAAAAGCTGAAGTTCTAAGAAGAAATCTTATTTGAAAGATGTTTTATATTAGTATAAGTAACTATATTATTAGTACCCACTGAATAAATATTATTTATTTCTTAGATATCTTTTTCTCAGTGCATGTTTCTACGAGAAGATTTCCGTGTCAGAGAAGCTATATAAAATATAAAATATTTATTCCACAGACAACAATGTAATAACATATTTATTTGAATATTTTAATTATTAAATATTTTATTTAAATAAAATGAACAAATACATTCATTAAAAGCATTTTAAGAAAATGTATATTTTCCTGTTTGAAAAAAATATTTTTAGTTTTTAGTTTTCATAATTTTATATACATAAAATTATGTATATTAATATAAAAATATGTTATTCTAAATCCGGTGTTGTGGGAATTAATCGATTATAATTTTCTTTGAGTAAAGTAATCGGCGAATTAGTAATTAAAATTGATCAATCGTCATATACATGTGTAATCACAAATAATTTAATCAATAGAGGAAATTAATTATTAATGAAACTTTGATGTGAATATGATTATATACCGATTAATAATTTCATCGATCGATCAAATCATTCGTGATTACATATACGACGATTTATCAATTTCGATTATCGATTAGCCAGTTATTTTAATCAAGAAAAATTTCACTCGATTAATTCCTGACTAGTAGCCATCGGATAAATATATTTTTCATTCTTCAGAATATTTTTCTCGCAATATGTGACAATACGAAAATTTAGCCGAGGGGAAACGAATGCGAAATTTGCACGATTTATTTGTAACGACCTGTACTAATGCAGAACAACACGCTTCGTCGATACTTTGCATTCCGCTTCTGCGGTTTCTTAAATTGGCCGAAATCGGCGTGCGATTACTATCGATCGCTCACCGTGAAACATCGGGACGCGAATTCGCCGCGACGGCTTTCCTACCACGTGGCGAAAGTGAATTTTCGAAATCTGCTTGGTTTAGGCGCGCAGACGTGCCGAGAATTCCGAACCGCCCCGGGGGCTGTTGCCGCCGGTCAAATTTTTATCACGTTTGTTCACGAACTTATTGGTCAGGAATGGCCGATCGATGCGATTCGCGGGCGACACGGTGTCTGAAACGCGTTTTATACTTCGCTCGGCAAAACCATTAGAGAGACGCTGATTACCGTTGGTAGTCTCGGATGACACATTTATGAGCGAAATAAAAGCCCGACAACGCGGGTCGCGATGGAGGACAACAGCGCATTGCGTCGGCAGACAAGTCGGGTCTGTGCGGAATAATGTTTCTTCCACGGACGAGTGTCGTTACGACGGAGAATCGCTTCAAACGTACACCGAGAACGCGTATCATCGGCATAATCGCACGGGGAATCGTCGGGAATACAAATTCGATGTGCGTCTCAAACAAAACGTAGCAGACTCGATGGCTCGCAAAGGATTAAATCATTCTTCTGTATTAAATTCTTATTGTTTGAAGATATTAAATGCTATTCATTTTATTCCTAAAAGTTATTTTAATTTCGAAATTCGATAACTTTGGAAATTGGATAACTCCATCTTATATGTTTATTTGACAAACGCGACGGATATCTTGCACAAATCTACGCTGAAAGTATCTGATAAAAAATTAACAAATGGATATTTCCAATCAAATTCCGATCAATTTTTATATTCGATCAGGATATCCGATTAATCAAGAATATTAAATTAAAACAAAAGAAATTCTTGATTAAATTTTATCGGATACTTCCGATTATAATGGCGTTTCATCAGATAAATCGATCAAAAAATTATGAACCGATATTTCGCATCGGATGTTTGCTGATTGGATACATAAATTCATCAGTATTTTGATCAGAATATCCGTTTGTTAATTTTTCATTGGATAATTTCTCTTAGTGTAATACTTACTTAATTTCATGTGACAAATATGACGGTTAAAATAATTCAATAATTAATTTTATACATCTGTTTGCTCTAAATAAGATTGAAATAATTACTGAAGCAAATATACTGGAATAATTAATTTTATACATCTGTTTGTACTCATATGATGATTTCATCTTTTTGTTTTAGAGCGCTGGTTGGGGAGAATGGTCGCCATGGTCGAAGTGGTCGCCATGTACAAGGTAAGCCGCATTTATGAACGTTGTATCAATTTAATTACAATATCCGCGCAGGGTAAAGCTCTCTTTATAGTTTCAATTAGAATTACAAAGCATCGTTTAATCGTTTCGCCGTCGTCTTTTCGCACAAGCCGATACTGCCGTCACTTTAACTCTCGGTATTTTAAATAAACGTTAACTTCGGCAAAACACTAAAGGCGGAAAATAGAAATTTATATTTCGGAGCGCTTAACCCTACAAAGATAGCCTGACTAGTAACTTTTACCTTCGTACTGAAAGTCTCAATCCTAGAAAGGTGGTGATAAGTTATAATATAATGAAGGCAAGGATGAGTAATTTTTACTTATTCAAGTAATATCTCACAAAAAAGTGGTAGTACCCATTTCAGTTGGTGATCAAAAAAAAAACAAGAGGGAGAACTTAAGGATACATTGTCGCGTATAATCTCTGCAAGAAGTAACTGAAAATTATAAATACGCTAATGTTCCTATTTTTCTATTTCTATTTTAGTGATATTGATTTTCGGTAAGGTTTCTATCTTTCTCCTTCTATCTTGATTGGTGCAAAATCACCCATCAATTTTCTTTAATTAATAATTAAAAATCTACATGATATAGCTTCGTCTACCATATCGCCCGTGATTAAATCTTCTTTAATTAATATCTCAGGATCGTGCATCAATTTTCTTTAATTAATAATTAAAAATCTACATAGTATAGCTTCATCTATCATATCGCGCGTGATCAAATCTTCTTTAATTAATATCTCAAGATTTATTACGAGTATCGCAAAACGATACGAGACGTTCACCCCAAAACCCGTTCTACATTCTACGAAGTTTAAGAATGGTGATCTGGGACACTGTATATATATTACACTCAAATACATGATCCCCCCTTCCCTACATAGTCATGAGAGAGAAAAATGTCTAATAAAATATATGGACCTACAGATATGTACAAAATTGTCAATTTCTCATGTGTATGGAGACCGCTTTCTGTATTCCGGGAGGAGGTGCGCGATACACGAAGAATATCGCATCCGGCGCCTATTGTTTGGCGGCAATGCGACAAAGGGCGTCCCGTCGACGGCCCGTCGTCCGCATGCAAGGCATGATCCAATCCCGCGATTTCTCATCGCCTGTTTCGCACGCGGTCTAATATTGAGTCCTACCGCGGCAACACGGCCGGAATGTTAAGCGTCCCGGAACTCATTTCGGTCGGCCACCGCCGGCAATAAGTTTGTTCCCCGGTTCACACGGTTCCCGGCCCTACCCGTTTTTCAGTTATACAGAAGTGGCCGGGTAACGGCGCGAGACGTGGCGATTTATGGCACTTACAACTTGCGAACTGCACTCGGCCGGAGAAAAGCTTTATTGTATGATCTACAGCATCGCGCGCGCTATTGATGTTTCCGCGCCAGCTGCGCATATTTTCGCGCGAGCTTTCTCCTGCTCTCCCCTCCGCCTCCCGCTCTATATCGCCGGGGATCGGCGATATTATAATTTCCCCGGTATGGCTAAAGTAACAAACCCCTCGCGACAATGGCCGCGTTCAGTAGAACAAGTGATCAGTAAGCGCTCAGTGAGCTCTTGCATCTGATTGGAGTATAGTTGGAGATCTAAAAGAATATGCCAAATCATATACAAGAGCTCCCTGAGCGCTTACTGATCACTTGTTCTACTGAACGCGGCCAATGACAGCAAAAGCGTGTCGATCGTATCGGACCAATGATCGCGATGATCCCGCGCGAGGGAGCGACGACGGACGTCGCTCGTGGAAATTATCGTCGCTGTTAACGACATTGTCTTGGATGATCTTGTTTGCTCGCAATGGCGCGAATTAACGAAACGAGCCCATGTATCCGCTTCATCATGCGCCGTTTATCAGCGAAAAAATGAAATGCGCGCGTTATTATTTGCGTAATACTACCAGGCCTTGTAATTGCGAGTGATCTGCACGCGCGATACACACGCGCTCCACCGCTCGCGTTATTGTTCCGATCGACACTAATTCGCGCATCAAAATTATCGTTCGTATCGGATAATTGCCATTCTCGCGGAACAGCGCGATTAATGCGAAAATTCCTCCCCCAGAGCTCAAGCCGAGTATCACGATGCATACGACAGGCCGGCGACGGAGCGGTTTTAACGATGACGACTTCCACTGTATCGCGCTATGAACAGTCGAGCGACAGTCACTGGTTTGCACGTAGCGAGCAAAGGGCTTCGTGATTTACACGCGAAACGTATACAACGACCGGTCTGCATTAGCCTCGTTTTCTTTCGGCTCTTCGGGCTCACGTTGTCTCTGAAAAACTCCCGATATGGCTTCGCGGCGTGACTTTTTCTCCCTTTTCCCATCCACCCCCTCTTTTGTTTATTTTCTTTTTTTTTTTTTACGGCGGAATACAGTTCTCTGTTTGAAATTTGAGAACGAGCCCGCGCATACACGACGAGAAAACCCTCCGAATGGAATAATTACGAGCGATACCTGCTAGTCGCTCTCTCCATCCTCTTCGAGAGATGCCATATCTGAAAATTCTACTGGAAAAGTACTGAATTTTTTCTGCTAAACTTACTTTACATGATGAAAATACAAGTGCAAAAATAAGTTGGAGTATTGTCCAATATGCGCGCGCGCGATGAAAGCGATAAAAAATTTCACAATTATCATATCAAGCTATCAGTTAGCGTAAATATTCTGGCATAAAAATTCTGTAGTTTCTATATTCCGAACGTGTGTGTCAATTTCGTTTAAATTGTTAAAATTTCCAAGAATACTGCTGCATCTTTACTGCAACTGCACTGAGAGAAAAATGTATGATATTTGGAACTATAATGGCATAGTAAAAAGATTATAGTTAGGAATATCTTTTTTATAGTAAATGTCACTATAATGTTTGTAATATTTACAATATAAGCATAGTATAACTGACTCATGTAAAACTTTTACCAAGAATTATAATTATTTGAAAAAACATAGTAAGGTAGCAAATATTAAATGGTGAGAGAAATTAACTATTTTATATAGTCAATACAACTGGAATATTTGGAAAATATAGGTACATGTAACTATATTCTCAAAGCGTGTAGTATAACTGACTCATGTAAAACTTTTACCAAGAATTATAATTATTTGAAAAAACATAGTAAGGTAGCAAATATTAAATGGTGAGAGAAATTAACTATTTTATATAGTCAATACAACTGGAATATTTGGAAAATATAGGTACATGTAACTATATTCTCAAAGCGTGTAGTATAACTGACTCATGTAAAACTTTTACCAAGAATTATAATTATTTGAAAAAACATAGTAAGGTAGCAAATATTAAATGGTGAGAGAAATTAACTATTTTATATAGTCAATACAACTGGAATATTTGGAAAATATAGGTACATGTAACTATATTCTCAAAGCGTGTAGTATAACTGACTCATGTAAAACTTTTACCAAGAATTATAATTATTTGAAAAAACATAGTAAGGTAGCAAATATTAAATGGTGAGAGAAATTAACTATTTTATATAGTCAATACAACTGGAATATTTGGAAAATATAGGTACATGTAACTATATTCTCAAAGCGTGCTTTACTATACATATAGAATAATAAGATGGTGACTATAAATGTGTGTTCATTCTGCTATATCTTCGTGTGTAGATGAACTATAAATATATGTTTGAGGCCAAAACGAACTATAAAATATAGTGAGATTATAATTATTCCAACTATTTTTTCTCTCAGTGTGAATTTAGGAACCTAAAAATACACGAAAGATTTGCAGGAAGATTTATATATATACATGATTATGTTTTCTGCTGAATACAGTAAAATAAAGCAACACATTTACATGACATCTATACAAACAAGCATATGAAAAGAGCGGTGTGATCATTTTAGTAACTGATATGATATTTTGACAAGCACTTCTTCGTTATCGACATTTTTAGAGTTCGTCATCCACTTTGCAATCTCTTAAGGGGATTGAAAACTTTAGCGACAAAACACTGAATTTTTCTGCAAAGTTTAAGTTGTATTGGTTACACAGGATTACAAATCCTTTTAAACAATAAAAGTATGTCGAAAAAGAATGAATTGGGATACTATACAATAAAAAAGATGTTAAAATTAACATCACGGATTATCAGTCAGCGTAAATATTTGATACAAGAGTTGTGCAGCTTGTACATTCCGAACGTGTGTTTGCTCTGCTTAGGAAAATTTCAGTGTACATTGCTGCCTTTTGACAACTGAATTTAGAAACTCAAGAGTACACGAAAAGTTTCCAGGAAGATTTCTATATATGCGTGATTATGCTTTCTGTTAAATATGGTAATACGAAGCAGTACACATTTACATGAGATCTATATGAACAGCAAATACGAAAAGGGTAGCGTGATCGTATTACTCCTTAAATTTCTTGGAGTGAAATTTCACTCGAAAAGTAGAGTCAGTACAAAGTTACTCGAATTCAAGGGATTTATATGGAGCGAATTCTCCACTCCAGATGGTCGAGTGAATATTTTCGCTCGAAATTGAAGAGGGAATCTGATGTTACTCCATCGTCACAGGAATACACATCCATTCTAATCGATAGAAACATTCGCCCATATTGGAGCCAGAATTTGCTTTAAGCTTGAGAGAAATATTCACTCTCGCTATTTCGAGTGGCAGTATTCCCACTATCGTTTTCAATGAAAATACTATCACTCATCCCTCATTTCGAATAAGATTTTACTCCAAGAAATTTAGAAAATATTGCTTATCTAAATATGATGTTTTGACAATCACCTATATGTTATCATTTTAAGACTAAAACTATCAAAACTGTCAAAATAACGAGAATGTAATTTCTTTAAAAAATAACTTAAATTTGTAACGCGGCGCATTTTATATCTATAACTGACGTGGAATAAAACTGGAAAAAATAGATGAACATTTTTCTCCCTCACATTAGATATTTTTTATTTAAAAAAACCTGTTAACCGTTTTGATAGAAAGAGGTCGTTAATCGTCGACAGTTCTACTGTTAATCCGCACATATCACCGAGACGAGAGCGAAGTTACGGTCCCGTGATTTGTCGCGCCGAGTCACGTCTCGTTTCGTTTGATGTCGCGTCGGAATCTCGCGAGCTCGGCTTGCGGTGATGGAAAAGGTGGCGCAATTATTTACGGCTTATTGTTTGAATGCGGGGAGAATTTTCGCGATTCGTACAGACTCGTTGTAATTGGTGGGAACACTTCATATCGAACGAGTTCCACGATAGCGAGTATATTTCACTGCCGCCGCCGCCACCGCCGCCGCTGCAGCCGCCTCTCGAGCGAAGCCAACTTATACTTGTTGGGGGTAACGCAATTTCCAGTGAATAAAGATCGCTCATGGAATTAGCGTGAAGTGGTAAATTGAATTAACTAACCGCGTCGCGCCGCCGGTGGCGAAACGTAATTAAACTCTTGACGATTTCTCTCGGAGCGCCTTGATTATGAAAAGTTTATTGGATAAGCGTGCCCGGGAAACACACCCGGCGCGCCCAAGTACATTCAAGAAGTACGTACAACCCGCCATGTCATCATACTTAATTTGCCAATGAATTCACCCTTTCCCCTTTCAGGACGTGCGGTGGTGGGATTTCACGGCAGCAGCGTCGATGCAGACGGAAACCGTGCAAAGGCAGAGTCTGGACCACCAAGTATAAAATCTGCAATCCGCAGGTGAGTATTTTCTCTTCGTACATTCGAGCACACCTGCTTCGTTTCGCGTATAGACGCTTGAAAATAATTTCGACAACAATTTACCTCATAATTCTGATCAAAGATTGATCCCAATCAGTTACTTGCTTTGTATACATTGAGGAAAAACTACTTAAAAATGTATTTGTGGGATTTAAATGTATTTCTGTGAAATAAACTTTATATCCCACAAATAAATATTCAAATATTTTTTCTCAGCATGAGGTGATGTTATCCAGTCTTAATTATCCTTTATTATTAATAAGAAAAAATTATTAATATTTAATAAAAATTAATAAAAAATATATATATACACAATCATATTTTTTAGATTTGTTTAAAATCTATATTTTCTGGACAACAAAGAGATATAAAAAAGCTTTAGCTATAAAAATAGCACAATAAAGTCAACAACAGATTTACGCCATTCTGAAACTTTCCCATAAAATTTGTTAACAATCAAACATTCATTGGAGTCACACATAAACAAATCCATTGCACGGTTAATAGCATATATTAATAATATAATATGTATATATTAATAAATTATTAGTAAGATTCTGATTGCCACGCAGCGTTACACTTTCAGGACTTGATAAAGCATTATGTTGTGCAAAATAAATTTCAGGACTATGAGATAAATTTCTAGTCAGAATCCTACTTCGCTCTCGCTGCATCGTTTTATCTTTTTATAACGAAACTGGCGAAACCTCAACGGAATAATCCGAAACGACTTGTCGGTTCTCAATGACATGCTCACGTTATCAAAGAATATTTAAAAAAAATGTCAATCGTTGTTGAAAACTGGCCATCCCGTTACTCTGCTATAACATACACGTATGCTAAACATACACGGAGAAAATATTATTGTCAAAATTACAATATAATTTTAGTATTCCGGAAACAGATTGGCACATGATAAAAATTATAATAAAACATAATAACAGTAACCATGAACGTAGTAAAAATTACTATAAATGTAGCAAAAATTATCGTGTTTCTTTTTAGTATGTCATAATTTTCGTAATAGTATCAATCTATTCCCGGATTACTAAAATTTTGTATTGTAATTATTACTACAATATCTCTAGGCTCCAAATTGATCAAAAAGTTCTGAATTCCGAAAATCTAAGTCACGTTGTATGATCGACCAGGTACAAAGCGGTTAAATTCTCTCTCTCTCTCTCTTTCTCTCTCTCTCTCTCTCTCTCTCTCTCTCTCTATCTTTCTCACCTCCTCCATTTTCTCTCTCCCTCTCTCTCTCTTTCTCTCCCCCTCCCTCCCTCTCTCTTCCTCTCCCTTGAATGTAAAATAATTCGTTCACGCTGCAACTGCGAACGCGCGTTTAAACGCACCTGTCCGCGTACTCTCAGCCGGTGTGAAGGAAAGGAGACGTTTGTGTGTGACAAGCACGCCGTGCGCCTTCGCGATTCACAGCCTCAGTACGTTCCCGCGTATCGATCGGTCGTTTAATCGAATCGCGTTTTAACAGCGTCGCTGTTTCGCGCGGGGTGATTGCGAATTATCGTGCGGCGCTCGCGGCACAATGACGAGTAATAATGCAAACGAATTTCGATGATTGTGAACCAAATGACATTCATTGTCGCGAATCGTTCTTAAATATTTCAGCCCACGCGCTCTCGCAACTCGCCGATGTGTATTCGTCCACGTCAATATTACATCGACCGGCATGTAAATTGGATACATGATAAATTCGATATCGAGCCCGCGCGCGCAACACCGTGTGTGCGTGCGTGCGTGCACGCGCGCGCGCGTCTGTATGTGTGTGTATGCGCGCGCGCATATGTTCCCGCGAGTATATAAGCACGTTCTGCACCACGACTAGGGCCAATACGCACACTCTGCTGCAGTAGCCGGGATATATCCAATGGGACATGGGGATCCAGGTGACCTGACCCACATCTATATCTGGGACAAGTTTCAGGGAGAATGCAATGCGGTTACGTGTTAAACAGTAGTTCCGCTGCGGACGCGGACGTGTGTCGTCTGATCCGCCCGTCTGATCGATATCGACCGGGCCGACGATTATTCCTTCGCTCCTATTTGTTCCACTCGATTCGACGATTTCGGTCATATCGCGGCCAGTATATTTATAGGAAACCGCGCGCGCGGATGTGAATCAAACAGCGATCCGAGGAATACAAGATACGCGATTCTTCATTAATTCATGAACAGCGACAATTATACTTTGAATCATCCGCCATGTAGTCATTTCGTATTCGCGTGTCGCTATATGCAGAAGCGTCTGGCTGTAAAATTTATTGCGTTAAGCACTACGACTTCGCAGATGGTAATTATTTCCCTTTTTTTTTGCTTCTCGACAGAAATCGCGAGTTGTATCTTCAGCCTGTTTATATATATATATATATATATATATATATATATATATATATATATATATATATATATATATATTTCTCCTTATAACTTCAATCACCGCTCTCACGTATGAATAACTCCATTCTGCCAATTGTCATCGTCTTATGAAGAAATATTAGCTACTAATGACAGTCTATAATTTTAATAAGAACTATACAGAATACTTGACGCAACGATTACGTTCGGTCGTGTGCACACGGAGGAAATTTTATAGCAAAAATTACTGTGGAATTTTGTGATCGAGAAATAGGTCGGCATTTTGCATTAATTAAATATTCCTTGATGTTCTTATGATGTGCTATTTATATTTTAGGAACTGAAGTGTTAAAAAATTTGCTATGCTTAAAAATTTACTTGCTTTCTAGAGAAATTAATTATGTTCCTCAATAAGATAAATCTTATTGACAATCTATTCCTGCGCTATTGGAAACATACAAAAGTTGAAAAGAATTAATATAAAAAGGAAAGTTATAACACACATTCTCACCGTGTAGGTAGAACTTATCAAACTACATAAAAAAATTTCTATCTCATTCTGCAAATAATCTTGATAATTATCGCGATATTAATCTAACGGTAGCACAGACATTTTATGTGTTGAGTATTATGTGTCAAAATTTATTTGAAATTTGAATTATTTAATATTAAATTATTTATCGTAAGTTGTAATCATTGTCCTCTTTGTTCTACTTTTAACGTAGTTTTTCATGGATAATTTGAAGGAATACAAAGTGAACTAAAATAAAACTACACTAATACGTACGGAGGGCGCTTGGTAATATTGTTAGGATTAAACAAAACTAAGCGAATAAGCGCACATGTTACAGACTCTTTAGTCTCTTTAGGCAAAGTTTCATCCAATATAATTGAGTCTATTTTGGCAATCTCTTGACAACAGCGAACGTAATGCTGGACTGCATGCCTGCGCTGTTCAGTATTACACATTGCATGTTGCCAAGGGATCACTTGCCGTTGCCAAGAGATTGTCAACAGCACTTTAGACATCTTGAATGAGACTTTGCTTAAAGAGTTCATTCCACTGCATCATATGCACACTCATTCCGCTATTTTTTTTTCATAAATATTCCAATCATTTCCGCGGTTGTTTACAAAATGATACAGGATTTTCGTTCAGTTCGATGAGTTTTATCCGCACATGTATACAAGACGTATACAGACCGGTATAATACACTGAGAGAAAAAATGATTGATCTAACTAAAATTATAGTTACTTTTGGCTCCAATCATATTTTTTGGTTGTTCTTACACGAAAATGGTAATAGTAACATGAATATAAAGTTATTATCACTTACATTACAATAGAATTTAATAGAAACATTTCTTGATTATAATTTATAGTAATTATTTCTCTATGTGATTATAGTTACAAATACCAAACACTTTGTTCTCAGTATAGCTTTAACATAAGAAGTTATATCATTCTAGAGTTTGCCATAAGAAATACATTATGCGCTCTCGAAAAGTATAACTGCAGGCTGTTAGTTACATTACTGATACACTATATATAAGTAGGATAAAACACCCAATTATTGACACCTAATTATTGATTCCCCTCAGCCATTAACACTCTGAAAAAACCAGGTGTTTGTCTAAAGTTTGTCCGTAAATAAAGGGATGGCAATATTTGGGTGTTTTATCTTAGATTTACGATTTATATAAAAGGAGGATTATTCCTCCCATTTATATACAATTTATCTACAAGAAAGAATTCCTTCGTAATTATTGACATCTAATTATTGATTCGCCTTAGTCATTGAGGGTTTTACTCTAAATTTACGGGTTTAAGGAGGATTATTTTTTCATTCCATTTACATAAAAGAAGCAATTTATTTCTTCGTGACTATTGACATCTAATTATTGATTTTCTTTAGTCCTTAAGTGATTTACTTGAAATTTACGAATTTTTACACAAGGAGAATTATCTCTTCCTTACATTTATATAGAAGAAGTTCATCTATTCGTAACTATGATTGATCTTCCTCAATCATTGAGTAATTTATTTTAAATTTACGAATTTTTATACACAAGAGGAATTGTCTCTTCCTTACATTTATATAGAAGAAGTTTATTCCTTCGTAACTATTGACACCTAATTATTAATCCTCTATAATCATTAACACTCTAGAAAAACGCGTTATGTCTAAAATGTCAATGACTAAGAGGATGTCAGTAATTAGATGTTTTACCTTAGATTTACAGATTTATATACAAGTAGGATTATCCTCTTTTCTCTCACATTTCATTTATATACAATAAGATATTTATTAAGATATTTATAATTATCCCTTTGTCTCTTTTTAGAGACGATATATATATCATATTACATATGATCTAAACTAGCTGTCATAATCCACAGTCAGTAAGCGGAAATTTTTCCGTGTGATAAGAGAGAGACCATTAAATTGTTAAAACACGAAATCAACATACACGAGGCAAAGATAATAAACTGTCACTGTCGCGATTTAATCCAGCTAGATGTCGAGCGCGTCTCTCGCGTTACGTCGAAACTTGGAACAAATCACACGCGTCCATCGAGTGACTGACAGTCGAAATCGATCGTA